TAATTGGAAGCTGAAGGTTTGCCACAGTTGCAAGTCATCATTACTATTGATTTCAATCATATGGCTTTAATTATCAAAAAAAAGATAAAAGTCACGATCGAAATGCCACTTACGATCAAATTGTTTGTTATTTATGGTTATTTATTTGTTGTTTATTGTTTTTTATAGCTAATAGTTTCAGGTATTAGTTTTACTACTGTATTTCGAATTTGAGACAATAAATGAAAAGTTTCATCATCTCATAGCATTAATTTTGAAAATCGAAAGTAAATCCTTTCACTTCGTTCTTATTATATATCATGCCATTATCAGGAATGTTTTCATTGGATTTGCGGGAAAATTGCGACACAGATGCCGCTGATTATGTATCGCATCATATCGAGCAATGCTGCTTGACATTTTTGAAATCACTAGTGGATATCGGCAAAAACCCAAGGGGATACGTTATATTATCCAACCCATGGTTTCATATTTTACCTTCTTTGTATTTGGCAAGTACCATTATCAGCCTAACTACTCGACGAAGATTCTAAAATTATCAGATAAAGGAACCTGAAATAATTACAGCTGCATCGTATGCATATCAAATTGATTGTATTTGCAGTCAAGCACTTAGTTTAAAAGAATTGCTTTAGTGCGGTTGACCGTAAAGGATATAAGTTGAAGTTAACTCCAAAAAATTGCCAATGGATTGCTCAAATGCTACGAACGATTTCTATGATACATCAGTTGCGAATATCAAAGGCTTATAAAACGAAACGGTAATTGTTTGTTGAATATTTTGCCAAATGACATCGAGTTAGAAATATCGACTTATTTTTGATATTGATTAGGACATAGAAATACCGATCAGTGCCAATATGCCATATTTTGCTATCCGAGATGAAAGTTATAACACCTAAATTTTTCATTTTGAACTTTATTGAAATTAAGATAAAATTCCATAAACATTTCAAATGATTCTGTCGTAATTTATAGCGATCTTTTTTACGAACAAAAAAATTTATTTGGTGAGCAGCGAAATTTAAATAGCTCGATCAACCGAACCTGTTGTTTGCTTGGAATAGATCCGACTCCTGGATATTTGGTAAGTGAGAAATAGCTGATATATAGCATTTCCTGCATTTCAGTTATTAGATAATTTAGATTTATCATTTTTTGGGATGGTTGTTTGAAAACATGTTTTAAACGAGTAATGACACACTTTGTTAAAATCTTTCCTTTTTTTTGAGAATTACTGCCATGAAGCATCAAAAGTTAGCGTAGAATAAACCAAAATGGTGTAATATTTGGCTTTATTCAGGATATCTGTGCAAGACTACTGAAAGATTCTCATCGTTGAATTTACTCGATATGATTCTAATATGTGATACAATTTAGTTAGTTTTAGCTATCGTCTGGTCATGGACTCGTAATTGGTCAGTTAAAAATTTGTGGAAGCACTGGAACAGTGGATTGCTCACTTAAAGCCACTATCATTGATGACTTTTCCCGTGCAAGTCTTTTTACCACCGCACAATGCATATTAGTGGTTGAAAAGGATGCCATTTTTCAAAAACTCATTGGCGAAGGGTTTCTGGAACTTTTCCCCAATGCACTTCTTGTGACGGTTAGTGATAATATCAAGAGGATATCTCTACATTTTACCCACTTGATATTACTGTTTATTGTCTTTAAGGGTAGAGGTTATCCGGACATTGCAACGCGAATTATGTTAAAGAAATTGAGCAACCTTCCATTATTTGGCTTGTTGGATTGTGATCCACATGGTATGTGTATCACGAAACATCGTTTGATTCACTCAAAACTACTGACTGTTTTTGATGAACATGATTGAAATTTCGTTACTGTTTTGTTTTTAGGTATTGAAATAGCGATGACCTATAAATACGGTAATTGTAGTAAAAAATTTGATGTGGGAAATCGAACATTATCCCATTTTGAATGGATTGGATTGTCTCGTTGCAAATTACCGAAGTAAATGTAGTTTTCTGTTAAAAAAAAAAAAAGGCAATTTGCTTCTGCTTTCTTTTTCCTGGAGATGTTGCATATAGAAAGAGAAGTAAGGAAGGCTGAATTTCACTGAAAATAATTGTAGCGACGCGTTTTTTTCCTAAAAGAAGTGTAATATACGGTGAGAAATGTAAAAATAAGTTTTCGTTTTCATCATTTTTTGTTTTCCAGTGATGCAGTTCTCGGATACTTTTTAGTATTTTGCTTTAATAGCGTTTAATTTCAGGTTTGTTATTTCGGCTGTACAATTTCTCCCTCTTCAAAAGCGTGAATTAGCGAAACTGGAGAAGCTCTGTCAAAGAGCTGCTATTTTGGGAAATGCAGCTCTGTTTGAAGAAGTTTCTCACTTTAATATACATTGAAAAGAATTTTCGAATTTTAGACGGCTTATGTGCGTCTTCTTTATATCATATAATTTAAGATGCCAATCTTTTTAAAAGCCGCATTCCTTTCATCTCCCAATGTTTTGTAGTATAGGTCTCAGGGTGTGGGAAAGTTTTTTACTTCTCACTTTTATTGACTCTTACCCCTGGTAAAGAAAGAAATTAACATTAGGAAAAATGGATTTACATTAGTTAAGTGAATTTACTGTTTTCAATAGATGAATCGTGCAAACGAAGCTATTATATCGTGCCTAAAGTTCACTGTTTACATCATGTGTCGATTTGTTATAATTATTTTTACAGTTGATAAGAATGCGCCAGTGCGGCAACAAATTAGAACTGGAGGCAGTAAGTGGCATCGCACCCGGATCCATGTGTCAGTATTTGCTTCGAACTAAGCTGTCTAAATATGCTGTTGTTGAGAAAGAAATAATCCAATGTGGATGAAATTAATGACTTTTGTAACTTTCATTTCAAATCACAGTAGTTAAGTGATTATCCAGCACTGAAAAGTGGAGCAGATCTAATGGAATAAATGTCAGTAAAATACATAGGAATCTATGCGATATTAAATGATCCAAAAAAAGAATTTTTTATTGGTAAGGAAATCATAATTTACTTGTCCTTATCAAGGAAAAAGAACACATATATTCATGTTTCCTGCTTAAATTATTTTGTTCTTCTGTAAATAAAATTGTCGGAATATGCGTTGATTTAATTTTACTTAATAAAGCAGCATACTATTCTCCCCAAACACTTCATCATATGGTGTCGGGAAAACCGGAATTATTTTAGTATAATGTTGATGTATTATAAAGAGTCTCTGGTACAATCTCATCTAATTATTTGAGAATGTCGGCATATTGTAAAGGATTTCTGGTCAATCTGTTCTAATCTTTTGGATTGTTGTAAACATTCATTATATAAGAGATACGAACTGTAAAGGATTCACTGCTTGGATACCGACCATTTCTCAACTAGCAGTTGTACAACAAATCTCTTAAACTATATCTATATGAATATCAAAATGCAGATAAGTAATCGATACTGATTGGTTATTCGCCAATATCTTTTCATTACTTTTATTAAAGAATAAATATTCAAAAGCCTTTTTACAAGTTTTACGCACAACCAGTCATAGTTGTCAGTCGACAAACCTTCGATAGAACGCAACTTTCACAAATTTTTGGTACCACGAGCCGAGACGAGATGATGGCAGCTACCATAATTAGAAGTGCTCAACCAGCTAAAAAAGCTACTCGACGAAATCAAAGATATGAATGTCACGCTTCTAAATCAACAATTATTAAAAGAATAACATCAAAAATATGAGATCGAGAGATGAATTGTCGAAGGAAAAGTGGGACGCTTCGGACCACATATCAGCGTTCTCGAATCGACCAACAGGAATGGTTAGAATTTATCAAGCGAGTCAAGGTCCCATAAATAAGGAAGGAAGAAGATAAATAAAAGAGATGGTCGACGACGAAAACGGTACTTTAAATTTGATTAGTGGCGGTAAAGAAGCTATTATAATTCTAGATATGTACAAAAATGACACTGAGCTAGCACTCCAATGTTTAAGTCAAGACTATATAAATGAAGAAGTAACACGATAGAAGTCATCCCAAGTAGCTCATCAAACAGTGAACTTGTCACAGCTATCACTACCAGTATTCAGTGGTGATCCAAAAATGTGATGAGAATTCTGGAGCAGCTTTGATGCTGAAGTGCAGTTCCAAACTATACCAAATATTCAGAAATGAAACTATTTAGTCTCTTGTCTCGAAGGAGACACTTTACAAGCTGTAAGAAACTACAACATCACTTCAGAGAACTATAACGTCATAAGAGAAATGTCGATGAGGAAATTTGGAAGTCGATGTACTGTTAAAAAATCCTTGTACACATTCCATCAAAAGAAATGATTGAGAATGAAAAACTAACCGCTACTCAAGGAATACTTCGACAATTAGAGGTCAAAAATGAGATTTTGGAACGAAACTATCATTGAGAATAGATTGCCTGGCTGATGAATAAAGCATATATGAGCAGAAGAAAAAAGAACTATGGTCTAACTAAGCTTCGAAATTTCTTAAGACGATTGGTACAGAGAAATGAAGAAGTAACTTGAAGTCAAGTTGTCATTAACGAGAAGGAAAAGAAATTAATGAACCCTAGGCTAAGCAGAATTTCATATGGCTAAAAAAGGGGAGAAACTTTTGGTTTAGCTACTTTCAAGCAGCCTAAAACAAACAGTTACAAGTTGGGTACAAATTCAAAGAAAAATGCAAAATTCGGCAAGATAAGGAGACCTTATATCACTGGGATAACGAATATCAAACTTATCTCATTCACGAACAACGAATGGAACATTTGAGAGAGAATAATGTTTGCCTTAATTGTCTTCAAGCAGGACGTAAGGCAAATGATGTAATAAAGAGAAACATTTATGTTTCCATTGCAAAAATCCTCATAATATTGCATTGAAATACAAGGATAGCAGATAAAATGTTGGACTAATCAAAGAAAAAAAATGGTTTCAACAACCAATTCAATAATTGAACAAAAGGATCAACAAGGAAAGAAAGCTTTACTTTTGTTTATGAAAATTAAAGTGATCAACTCGAAGATACCAAAAGTCTAAGAAGAAGCTTTGGCGTTGTTTGATACTGGTTCGCAGATATCCTTTATATTCAAGGATTTAGCAAATTAATTAAATCTAAAAGAAACGGAAGAAAAAAAATGGAATATTGCCTCATTTGGCAATGAAACACCTAAACCATGTTTTACAACCAAGACAAAAATTCGAGCAAGAATTGGAAAAAAGAAAATGATCTTTAAGGTCAATATAATAGAAAATTTGGATCCATGACACTGGAAATGGATACGTATATAAATTCCACAATTCTAATGCAGTATCGATCAAAGCCAAATCAACCAATGTGATTAATGTGCCTAGTATCCCAGATATAGATCAATTCTGGAAACCAGAATTCATACATATTCAGGGATAACCTGATACCAACGATGACGAAAAGGCATTGGAACAATTCAAAGGAACTATTAACGAATAAAGAGGGAGAGATGGAGAAGCACCATGATAGAAATGCCACATGGAAAAATTCTCGATAGACCAATAAATATGCACTGTCCTCTGAAAATTAACGATGAAAGAAACTCCGAAATTCAATCGATAACTCTTAAAAAGCCAATACAGAAGGTCGACAAACAAAAAGAAGAACCTATCCCTTAACAGACCAGGAAACGACGAATTCAAACAGAGTCAGGTAAGCCTAATTCAATAATGAAAAGCATATTCATAATAGCAATGATTCTCATGATATCAGTACAAGCTACGATAAAGGAGAACTGCAAATGGATACTGTAAATGGTATTCCATTCAATATTCCAAGAAAATAGGATTATGAAGAGATCACAGAACAAAACATCACATCAATTATGATTTCCGTATATAATCAAAACAAACCCACGTGTGAATATGTGTAACAAAATACAGTAGCATTACCAGAACAGTATGTACTAAAGCGTTCCTTAGATAATCATTATCCGTGATTTTCGACCAAACAATTCGGTGACATCTTTTCATTTCTGTAGAGCTTTAGATGATCAAAAGAAAGTAGATGGGATTATCTTAAAACAAATTTCTCGTAACAAATGAATAATGAATAATAATATATAATATTCCTATGAATGGTTAGATATCAAATGTTAATCTATAAATGTATTAACAAAAGGAGAAATATTACTTTATGATGGAGGAAGGTTAGAAGTTTAGATACTGAGCACTGTGCTGCATAAAGCGGAAAATGAATAACTAATACAAATATTGTTCTATGGATTGAGAAGGAAGTAACCAAAAATTGTTTTATAGGAAGATTAGGATTTTTAATAAACATGGAAATTATAGTATTAGAAATGAGTTCCAAACTTCATTTATTTTTAACAAAGAAAATGAAACAATTACGATAACAAATTGTCAATTTGTTAAACGACATCTGATGGATGGTGATATTATTATTAAATATGGAGATCGTCGAAGTTATTAAATATTATTATTAAATATTATTAAATATGGAGATCGTTATTCAATGAAATTTTGTAATCAAAAGGATATTCAAGAAGGAATAGTTAGTAAATTCGAAATTGAAAAAATCAATACAGAAATGGAGGTAACTGACAAGAAACAATTAACCCAATATTTCACCAACAACAGATGAGATTTCAAGACACAAGGAGAATTAGCGAAGCAGTTAGGAAATGAAATTGACAAAATTCCAGAGTTAATACAAGAAGAATTAACGGAATTAGCGACACATTGGGAATTGATCGATATTGGTGTAAGAATTTTTATCGTATATATTATACTAATCACCATCAAGATGAAAATTGATTTAATTCGATTTATTTTCTATCCATCATCTATTAAAGTTTTGAATAAAAGGGAAATTATAGCCATTTCTATGGAAATAATACAAGCTCTAGACCAATAAGGGAAAAGCGACAAATATCTGTCAAATCGAACATTTTTCATTACAATCCCCAAATTCTTTCTCCTTAAATTCTTATCCTTTTTTAGTTGGGAATAGTGGAAAAATCGAAATTATTTCAGTACAAAAATAATGTTGATGTATTATAAAGAGTCTCTGGTACAATCTCATCTTAATTATGTAAGAATGTCGGCATATTGTAAAGGATTTCTGGTCAATCTGTTCTAATCTTTTGGATTGTTGTAAACATTCATTATATAAGAGATACGAACTGTAAAGGATTCACTGCTTGGATACCGACCATTTCTCAACTAGCAGTTGTACAACAAATCTCTTAAACTATATCTATATGAATATCAAAATGCAGATAAGTAATCGATACTGATTGGTTATTCGCCAATATCTTTTCATTACTTTTATTAAAGAATAAATATTCAAAAGCCTTTTATAAGCCTTTCGAATAATCAGTCGTTGACAAACCTTCGATACAGTACAATTTTCACAATATATGGTTGAAGATTCTAAATGTTATGGTATATATTCCAAACCAGTGAAAAATTTCTTCCTTTTTACCTATAATTGGAAATGAGATCATAAATTGAAAAAGAATCACTGCAAAAATGAACTTTGTATCGAGTAAAAAATTAATTGGAACTGAATTACAGTACAATTCTTTGAATGTATTATTTATCCCTTCTAGGTAATAATAACTATGCTATTCACAGATATCAATTATCATTTCAATAATATATCATTATTTATATATTTTAATTATCAATGTTGTCAAAATCAATCATAATAGCTTGAATTAAACCGCTAAATTTGGAATAATAGGCATGAATTTCTTTTTTTTTTCTTCAATATAATCACCATATAATAGGATATACAAAAACATCTAAGCTATATTGGTATTACTGTGAATTTGATCATTCAAAAATTAAATTATTTATTGCAATCATACATTTCACAATTTTAATCTGTCATTTTTCAGCACTCAATTAATTATATTACATATAGTGTAGCTCAAAAATCCATTTTCATCTGGAAAACATAACAAGCATGTTAGATAAAAATCTCGATAATGTCGCCAACTTCTTTGTGTTCATGTCTGTCTGTGTATGTGTGTGTCTATGTGTGTGTGTGTGTGTGTCTGTGTCTGTGTATGTGTGTGTGTCTGCATATTTTTCGTTTTAATATTGATATTATAGAATTCTGTTTGTTTAGTGAAACAAAGGAAAGGGAGGAGGGGGAGGGGGGGGG